TGCTTCCACACACCTCTGTTGGGGAGGCCGGAGGGGAGGTGAACCACAGGTTTGGGAGTCACTCAATCCTGGACAGAAATCCCAGCTCAACCCTACAGCTGCGCCCTTGAGCAAATCACTCTATCTCCCCCAGTTCCTCCCCCGCAGAGGAGAATTTCACAACCTACCTAGGCTCTTCCATTGGTTTCATTTTTTCTTTCCATTTTTGATTATAAAGCAAAATTGGGGTAGGGGGAAAAAGTCCATTCTTGCAGGCTCATTTCTCCCAAGTGAATAACAATTCCACAAGAACCCTTCCCTCACAAAGAAGTTACTTCCAGGCACCCACGAGTCAAGAGGAGTTAACTGTATGAGGTTCCTATTTAACAATTCTTCACTTTCTAGAAGAGCAATCCTGACAAGTGAGGTTTGATATCCAGGAACTAACAGGCACATAGAGTCGTAACAGCAGCTACCCTCACCAAGAGCCTACTAGACGGTGCCAGCTCTGTCCTACACGCCTTCCACGTTTCACTTCTTTACTGTCCCCAGTCCCGTGGCTTGTGAGGAAGAGCTCCATTGCAGACTCAAGCACAGGAGAGGAAGCGAGGGGCTGGCAGAGGCGGCACAGGCAGCCCAGCCCCAGGATCCCTGCTCTCCAGTAGCGTGGTGGTACCTATCAGAATTCAAGTGTGCCCAGACATGTACTCCTTACTCCTCCAAAATATCCAAAGCCACCAAAACCCTCCATAAAGCACCTACCTGGAAGTTCCCTCCCACTACAAGCACCCAAATGAAGCATCACACTTGGGGCAACATCCAAGTGGCACTGTCATCTCTCCTTGTGAACTGAAAGGATTTCTCAAATGCTAAGAACAACTTTGTCTCTAGGATTTGTGAATCAGCAAGAGGACTTTAATTCTAAAAAAAAAAAAACATTTCTATCCGGGCCGGCCCGGTGGCGCACTGCTATAGTGCGCCGCTTGGGAAGCACGGCGGCGCTCCCACCGAGGGTTCGGATTCCACATACAGACCAGTTCCCGCTCACTGGCTGAGCGAGGCGCGGGAGCAACACCAAGGGTTGCGATCCCGTTGCTGGTCCCGGTCCGGTACGGGGGCGACACTGAGGGTTGTGATCCGTTGCAGGACACGGAAAAAAAGACAAAAATAAAAAAAACATTTCTATAAAGGCAGGCTGGCTCAAAAAACCATTCACAAGTTCTCTTTTGTTAGAAAACTTGAGAAAGAAAAGTTCAGCTGAGCCCCAAAATCTTACTTTACTTTCCAAAATATACCTAATAAAATCAGGTTAGGAATGGCTATCAATCAGTCTGCATGAACAAGATCGCTGGACCTTCCCAACATTTAGCCAGAAATACCTGTAAATAGAAATATGCTTTACTGTCACTCCAACTTAACTGAAGCCAGCGACTACCAGAATTTAAGAGGAAACAAAGGATAAACTGATGCAAGAAACAGTGACAAGTCCCAGCAAACTCTCAACACTTATCCTGACTTAAACCAGTATGCTCAACAGAGGATGACATCACCGATGTCTTGTGTCACCCAAGAGTCAACCACAGGGAACTGAGGTCTTCCTAAAATGCACCAACCACATCACCTTATCAGAGCAACAGCCTCGGGCTAGAACAGCATTTCCCAAATTGGAGGTAGGCATTTATAAGTTACACATTTTGTTTATTTGAACATGCATGGGGGGTGGGCGAAAACTAGCTTATCAAATCTGTGATAGCAAAGATATTTTTGCTTAGGGTAAGGTGAAATTAAGAGTTGACTTAGTAGAAAATATAATAGGACAGGTGGTATTTGTAGATAGAGAAAAGCAGGATGTAAGTAATTTAAGTTTGGGATAAATACACGAGAAAATTATGGACCCTCCTCCGTGGCTCACACACATCCCTGAAGCCAACAGCTTAATGATATTTCAATTAGAGTTCTACTTCCATCTGCATTTTTAAAGTTTTACTTATACAAAGATTTTCATTTTAAATGAAAAAAGTAGTTCTCATGGGCCTATGCCCAAAAGAGCCTTATCTAATTACACACAGTAGCAAGAAAACCCACCATCATGGGCATCCTAACTCCTAATAGGAAGCAAGGCCACATCCAGCTTTATGACTTGAGCAGACTGCCCCCTTGTAACAGCACCTGCCATAAATCAGCTCTCTCATTACACAATCAAAACAGAGAAGGGAGCTCGTCTGAGCTGAAGAGACAGCGACAGCAGTGCTCTGGCGATGGGCTGGCCCTCCCTAGGAATGTATGCATTTCCTCCTCCTCTGCTGCTCTAAATTACTGAGTGTTGCTCCTCTTTCCTTACCTCCACCAAACAATACTGCAGAGTCTTAACTGCCCAGATCAAGAGGCTGGGGTAATTTAACAAAAACAGTATGTGCCACAGGTATCAAAAAAAACTGGAACCATGGAGGTGAATTTAGCCATCCTGTTTAAGGCCTGCACCATAGAATCCTAGTGCAGCAACTAAGCTTCAAGTATGTTAGATCCAGGATCAAAAATACTGTTGAAATTTTCATGGACCTCAGAATGTTCTCAAACTATTTGAAGAGCTAAATCGTTATGTTCATAACAATTATCAAAATAAGTTGTGATGCTTAAACTGGCAACACCTTTCTGATTTTTTGGCATGATGTTATGACAAAAGGGTTTGCTGCAACATACTCGATGCGAAACCATCTCCCTCAAATGTTTCTTGGTGATGCACTACTGCTGCTTTCTTAAATGAGCCTGAATGTGCAGACATTCTACACTGCCTTCCCAATTGTACCAGTGCCAAGGTCGGCAATGCCATCAGAAAAAGATGTTCAATTTAATTCTTCCAAAGCTGTAAAGAGCTCTTTTGCCAGTGAGGGGAGCCATTGGCTTGGCAAATGAGTTGTTCTAAACACTGCTGGGTACTGTTCTCTGTTGCAAGTTCTCCATTTTCTGAAGACTGCCTGTCTTAACTGCTACAAAATGCCCACATTAAGAAAAAGAGATTTAAAGTGGGTTAACTGTATGGTAACATCACTGTAAAGATACACTTTTCTTACACAATTATTTTTAATTGACTTTAAAGATGTTTATTGCATTCTATTTTTGGTGGAAAAAACATAACATACATTTATTTAGCACAACCTTGTGAAATACACAAAGCATATTTGTGTACTAGGTAAGAAGCATTTTTCTATTCCTAGTCCACTTCTGAGGACTAAATCATGAACTGCTCCATGGTAATTAAATATTTCTTGCAATAATTGGGCACCAAGTTTAACATTTATTAATTTTCTCCTTTCAGTATAGGCAGCAATTCACCATTTTCTTTCAGTTCCTAAAAATAAAAACAACAATAATAATATGTACATGCATATATAAAAAATGAAAACATCTAAACAGTCACAGCTTGCATCTATATACGAGACCAAAAGAAACACCTACTGTATTAAAACTCCAGTCTTCCAGCACTCAAACTAAGTATTTTGCCATAAAACTGAATACACGATAAGATTATAAAGTTAAAAAGGTATTCTAAAACCAACAGATTGTTTAGCATTAGCAAACACAGCAACTGGAGCAAAAAATAAAGCCCCCTATTTAAATTATAGCAATAAATAAGTAAAAAGAAAAAAAAAATTCAAGCAATGTGCAAGGTGGAGGAAAGCAGCAATGTGGTGTTGAAAGTCTACCTGAACACAACACCTGCTCCTCGAGAGTAAAAAGGCTTCACTATTTCATTCCAACTGGGAATATGTCCATGTCTCAGGAAAAGCTATATAGTACCAGTAAAATGTAAAGACCAAAAACCACTAAAAACATGTAATAATTCAGAAACAGAGATGCAGCACCAAAAGAGCTGCCACTAGGTTAATTCAAACTGTAGAGCAGGCCGTATACTTTTTGTACCTGTTTTTCATATTTAAATTTGGAGTACAGCCATTATGTTTAAAATGTGAGAATAAAGGATATATAAGATTTTCTAGTTTGAAACAAACAATTTGTTGTAACATTTCAGGTTGCACTAAGCAGCAAAAACATCCATCAATAAAACCACTAAAATCCACACAAACTCCTCTCTGGATTAAAACCAAATAGGCGTGATCTTGTCATACAAAAATCCAGACAACTTTCAGTAATGTCTTGGGATCCTCCTTTGCCTGCTTATTAAGCAGACATTCTGCTGCAGCCCCGGACCTAGCGGGACTTTCCTGCGCACACACTGAGAAGGCAGCAGGCCACGCGGCTCAGTGGGAAGAGCTGGCTGCCCTCAGGTAGACTCTGGACTCTACACCTCACTAGCTACAAGATGGTGGACAGCTCACCTGACTTCTCCTTGTCTGTGTTTCCTCATCTACCAACTGGGAATAAGAACTCTTCTCTCGGGGCTGGCCAGTTAGCTCAGGTGATCAGAGTGCTGCTTTGTAACACCAAGGTCAAAGGTTCAGATCCCCATACCAGCCAGCTGCCCACAAAAAAAGAATCCTCTTGGAGGCTGCTGAGGGGATGACACGAGGTAAGCCACGTGAGCACCTGCTGTAGGTGCTTTTAAGCCGTTCTCCTCACTGTCATCACCAGCAGTTGACAGCAGCCTGACCTAAATATCCCAAATATCTCCCAACAAACTGTCTTAAGTCCAAACGTCCTGCAATTGCAGTAGTGAACTGTTCACTCTTCACAGGCAAGATTACCTCGCTCAGAACATATTACTAGCTATTTTTTTTCAGGACGCTAGATTGACTGAATCATTCATTCATTTATTCAATCACTTGTTCAACAAAAAAATATTCAATGCTTCAACAGAGGCCAGCCAGAATTAGCCCATCTGGAATACGGTTTAACTGAACTAAAAGATGAAGAACTGCACTCTGCAAGAAAGAGACCAAAATGGTAATGTGAAAGCTTTCCCACACACCCTCTCTCAAGGAAAAATGTTAATATCACAAGTTTCCAAATGTATATGTTCTTAGGTGAACATAACTAAAAAGAAGTTACCCACACAACTTAGCTTTAGAATTAAATGAGATTTATTGATTTTATCTTCCCAAGAGTTATCAATGGCTAAGGTACAGGCTTTCAAACACTGAGACAAGAGTAGGCTGAAGACTACTTGGAGTTTGAAGACTGTTTGTGTCTTATAAAAATATGTTTACACACACACATAAAAAGTAACAAATGCAGATCTATTTTTGTTGCTTCAGGGCTATTCAAAAGCTACAGTGTTCAACATTTTTTTCCTCCAGGAACGAGACAGTTTACTAGGAAAAATGCCTCACTGACTTGTTTAAGAAATATGACATCAAACTTGGAACTCGGCAGGAAACAAAACTTGCACAGATGCAACCAAAGGATAAAAACAGCCTCTGCAGTCAAAGGAGCTCAAGCCCCGTTTTTATAAAACAAATTGGTCCAAAGTATTGATGCCACTTCAGTATTCGGCTAGAGGTTCCTTCACTTTACAAAAGCCTATGTCAAAAACTTTTTATTTTACAACATAACTAAAAGTAGTACTACTTACCACTTGCTTTCCACTTAAAAAGCCAGAGATCTGACCTCAGAGAAACTCTCTGACCAACTGGACAAGAAGAAGGCCTGAGGCACTCTCACGGCCATGGGCCATGGAGCAGCCTCCCCTAGCCCACATTTGGTGACAGTTTGGTTCACACCTCTCAAGTGGAGCCCTGCTCAGTCCTCTGCTATGCCCACTCCATTGCCACCCTCCTCCCTCTGCAGCACAATGTCCAGGGTGGGCCTGGGGTAGGGCAGAGAGTTTGGGGGTATAAAGCTACAGTTTCCACTTATTGTTTTGGGCTAACCAACAGAGCAATGAAGCACACAGGTGCTAGTATTTGGAGCTACCCTAAGTTAAATTAAATGTAAGAAAATAAACACAAGAAAAGTCATGTCCATGTAAAACTCAGAGTTTACTTAAAGCAAGCCAAAGAAGTAAATTAAAGTCTTTCATCCATCCAACAATCACTTATTGAGCTCCTAGGATGCACAGAGCATCAGGAAAGACTCAAAGGTGTATACGAAATGAAGTCTTTTCTAAATATGCTTACAATGTAATAGTTAACAGATTTCCTAGCACCTGAAAACCAAAGAGGGACTCGCATTTTTCTTTTGGGAGACCAAGGTCAGTGACTCTGGACAGCAGGCAGGGCCGCACGGGCACTGGATCTCGTGCCTCCTGCCATGGCCAGGTGCTCTTCCTCTTCACCCCACACCCTAAGTCCATGTAAGGCAGATGCAAATGACACGAGAAAACAGTAAGTATAATGTAAAAATAAAATAATACGAAAATGTCAGGCTTTGCAGGCCAGGCAAACATTTCCGGCTGGAAGAATCTGTAAAAGATTCATAGACAAGTTGGGCCTCGAAGGATATAGAAAACAGATTTACATATAGAATATGCAATGAAATCCAAAGCCAAGAGAACAGGGTGAAGAAATGCTGAAAGGCAGGAAAATATGGAAAAATATTCTGCAGGATTTAGTGCCGTGTGAGTAAAACTAAAATTTTATAAGCTTGGCCACAGTCTAAGCTTCTCTGAATGCCAAGTTACAGAGTTTGGACTGTGGCCAGCAGTTGACTGGGAGGGAGCTGAAGGAGGATCTCAACAGGACCCCAAGTGACAGGGAGGATCACCCCGTGGGAAGACAGACCAGATGATCTGCCTGGAGCAGGTAGGAGGGAGTAAGACCAGTCGGGCATGGCAGGGACAGTGCAGTGACAGGGTACTATGCACAGACACAGGAATAATGGTCTAGAAGACCAAAGATGAGGCTGGAAAAGAAAGGAGTCGTGGACAACCCCAAAGTTTCCATTCAATATGTAATTATAATTTTTTAGCATGCCAAAATGTTCACTCTTTAGGATAGCAGATGAACTGATCTTACCTTAACAATATCCAATCCTCCAACAAGCTCCCCTTTTACATACAGCTGAGGGTATGTTGGCCAATTTGAGTAAGCTTTTAATCCTTGCCGAACCTTTAAAAAAACAAAGAGAAACCCTGAAACCTTCCTATCAGACTCTTATGATTAAAGCTAAGACAAGGACAACACATAAAACACGGAACTTACTTCTTCATCCTCCAATATATCAAATGTTTCATATTCAACACTAAAAAAGAGAAAACATTTTAATAGGAAGTAGTTTTAAACAAAATTATAAAACTTATCTGGTCTTTTTAAAATAGTCAAGAAACAAACTAGTTCACTGCTAACAAAATTTACTGATGACCAACAAAAATGATTTTACTTCTTAATCTGTCTGATACTACACAGAATGAGTCATCCCATGACACAAACTTATCTGGATTTTTCTCTAGACAATATTGGGTTAGAGCAGGGGTCAACAAACTTTTTTCTTAAAGAGTGAGATGGTAAACATTTGAGGCTTTGCAGGCCAGGCAGTCTCTTGTAACCGCTCAACTCTGCTGTGTCGTGCACAGAGGCAGCCACAGACAGTGCACAAAGAAGTTCAATACAACTTTATCTACACAGATAGTGGGCCAGCTGCAGTTTGCCAACCCTGGGGTTAAACCCATACTCACCATTCACACAAGCCTGTCATTAATGGGACAGTCTCACCCCATTTCTAGCTCCACCCCACCGTGGGCTGATGCTTATTGAGCAGGATGGAGAAGGGGTGCCCATGGATGGATGCTGGAAGAACTTATCAGCCGACACAATAACCACACTCACTCCACCTTAGGGAGATATGCTTCCTTCTGAACACATGCTGTTTTTAATATACATAAGATCAAGGAAAGTTTTGTGGCTTTATGATGTGCAATGAACACGACTTGTATAAAGAACGGAAAATCACTGCATGAAATCCAATCCAAATCACTGGGTTTCTACCCAAAAGTATTTCGCTGTAAAGTGGTCAGGGAATCAGCAAGCATGGATGACTGGGAATCAGCAAGCATGGATGACTAAATCCTTGCAGGGCTACTGTGGGCATAGGTACAGTTCCCAAAGTTGGCCAAAAAAAACCACCACATACAAAAAACAACCAGACTTTCCATAAAACTGAAACCACCTTCGTAGGGAAGTTCTGCTAACTTAGTAAGTCCTAAGAAAACTGTCCATGATGCAGGGAATAGTCAAAAAAAAAAAAAAATGAGATGACAAGATAAATCAGGTGGAAATAACAAAAAAGGAATGTTTAAAAGAGCAAAAAAAAGATTTAAAAGAAAAAGAAAACACAATGTAAATCTTCATTCAAGTTGAACTAAAGGAGGCATATTACTTAACAATGATAAAAATGAGTTACGGAACTATCTATAAAGGATCTAGGAGGATCTAGGAAGTACTGGGCACAAGTGTATGTAAGTATGTAAAGGCCTACCAACCAATACATCTCCTAAAAATTTATTTGTAAAGAGGGCCTTTACACCTCAATATATGAGGGGTCTTCAAAAACTTCGTGGAAAGATTCATATTCTCTTTGAATTACATTTTCCACAAACTTTTTAAAGTACTCTTCTATGCTTGGTTCTCAGCTCCTGAGTGCATGTATATTTTGGCTACTGAAAGAAAAGTAAAAATGGAGAAGAAGGAATAAAAAGCAGCTTTCTCCATGTACTTCTGACTCCCAGCAAGATCATGGATTGTTCAAGTTAGAAAAAGCTCAGAGGTCCCCAAAGGCCTGGAGCTGGGACGTCATTATTTCCCAAAGCAGTTGCCAGCTCCGGGATTAGACAGATGTGGGACAGAAGGCCAAGTTATAGAGGCATCCCACTGAAGAGACAAGCTGTGTTGGGCCCACGTTGTCTGGTTCAGAAGACACTTATCCCCTGAGCAGGGATGGACAAGTGTGTCTCACTATGGAGCTGCAGCAGAGGGACAACAAAGAAAGTGGGCCATAAAAAATGACCAGAACAAGATAGCCTCCCCTCTACAGCCCAAGACGGGTATTGTCCATAATTACAATAAATCGACTGTACTCTCCTCTATAAAATGTCACAATAATTTGAGAAATCAACCATTTTTCTTTTTATGTCCCTAAAGTTTTATTCAACCTGTGCTGCTCAACTGACTACTTTCAATCCTGCCTAAGAATGCCAAAATATTTCAAAGTTTACTTTCCCTTTAATTTCAAGGGTTGGCTAATCTATTTAAAGCTACAGTCAGAATACATAATATATAAAAAGAAGTAATAAATAAGGAAGACATAAGCAAAAACATTTGACAAAACCTACAGAACATGTGTTAAATATCTCTAAAGGGTGGTTTTGTTTTTAACCATGAAAATCAATGGTAATGTTCTCACCTGGCAGTTTCATCGTGCACAGATAGAGGCAGAAGTACTGCAACCTCACTGCTCTGCCTCTCACATCCAGGCAAATAGACCTTTAACATGTGCCCAGCAGTTTCGTATATTGTTTAAAACCCGCAATTTTTTTAAAAGAAAATTTAAAAGCATCCTATAGTATATTCTCCCTGAAATATCTTTGTGTGTGGTGAGAACTCAGTTACTAACTTTTCTCTGGGAAAGAAGACAAATAGTTATTTCAAAGGTTGCCTAAGAACTTCCTTTATGTTATTAATAGGTTGACACCAGCCAGAAAATTCTATTCTGGTCCAAGTTAAAGCATTCACAGAACATTTTAGCAGAAATCGATAAACAGATAAAAATATATAAGTAGATTATATACATTATAACTGAAAAGCAGTGGCAGAACTGAAAAATTGCAACTTTTAAGATACACCATGTGAAAACAAGATTTACCTACCCAGTACTATTTAGAATTTCCAGAATTTGTTTGCTGAATCCACATTTTGCTTCCTAAATTAAAAAAAAAATTATGAAGATTATGTATTTTTTTATATGACCCAATTGCCATGTTTGTATCCAATGCTGTCAACCAGCACGTCTGTCCAGGGAAGCCTGTAGCTAATGCTCTGTCAACCAGTACAGCGCCTGTCCAGTGCAGCCTGCAGCTAATGCTCTGTCAACCACTACAGCACCTGTCCAGTGCAGCCTGCAGCTAATGTTCTGTTAACCAGCACAGCACTTGTCCAATGCAACCACTACTATGTTTACTAAGCTCTTAGGGCTTTTTCACATCCCCTCTCTTTCAAGTACTGACCCATCTAGACATCAATCCCAACACACAGCCCACAGATTTACTTTGGTTTGTAACCACTTGAGATGACATGTGTTCTAGTAGCTTATAATCACTGTGGTCAAAAAGATCCTCTAAGTCAAACCTACATTTTCTACAGAGACTTCAGTTCATTCTTTACTTCATTCATACAAAATGATCTTAACTCACTTAATCTTTTTGCAATGAGTGTAATATCTATTTTCCTGTTCCCAACTGAGCTTTTACTTCCATTTTTTAAAATTTATCTCTACATTACAGAGTACCGAACTTTTTTGAGGTTACAGAAATCTCATGCTTTTTTTTCATGCCACCGAACCCCAAAACCCAGCAATCTCATAGGAAAGATCTGGCACCACAGACATTTTAAGAGCTCTAATAATTCTGTTTACAAAATGTATGAATACTTTTGGTCTTCCAGAAAAAAAATATATTTTGAGAATAAAATCTGCTTTAAACAATCAAGAGGAAAAAAAAAAATGTTACTTTACCATTACTGGAAATTATTAACTTCTATTTTGTTTTAATAAATACACTAAACCAGTCAAAGAATCTAGGTCCAAACCTAGTGATTCCAACATGTTGAAGTTTATATTAAGATTTTCCTTGTTATTATTACTTTCATTATACAACATTAGCTAATTAGCTACATTAGCTAATTAGTTTCATTGTATCAGTTATATTAACTTCCACACTAGTTATGGCAACCTGATTCTCAAAACAGCCCTGTGAGGTATTATTATGTCCATTTACAAAAGGCGGAGGTAAAGCTCTCTGCAGTTAAGTCACTCACCCAGCGTGTCTTGGCTAATAAGTGAGGCAGTTTCTTTATCCCATCAGCCTTACCCTTCAGAGCTCTAAGAACCATCCCATTATAAATAAAAATTGCTGATTGTTTTACTCATTCATCAAACACATACAGATCACACATGCTGTAGCCACTTCCAAAGGATGACCTAGCAGTGCAAACCTGAATATTGTCAGGTTCCCTGCACTCAGGAAGTACAGTGACCCAGCTGCACACTACACTAGGCCTCAAACTCAAACAAACAGTAAGGGAATAGCAACTACAAGAACCAGTAAAGTGTGAACAGTGTTGACCATAGCAGTTGACAAAGTTTGGCAGCAGAGAGAAATGCACCCCACTGAGATGTTGATGATAAAGTCAAGCAAAATGTAGATTACTTTGTTTGATCTCCATAAGCACTAATTAAGGCCTGGATAACTTCCTGATACCACTACAGCTTCATTAGCTAAAGCTAGGGAAAAAAAGATTTAACTGTCCCCTAGTTGCAGATATTAACATCAAAAGAAATTACAAATAAAACCATTTTTGAGTTCTTTACCTGTTTGTTTCCTTTCATAAAGAGCATCACAGAAGCTTTATTTGTCAGCACTTTCAGCCTAAAGAGAGAAAATTGATATAAAATGGCTCAGCTCAATTATTAAACACCACTCCTGCTCCGCTCCATGAGTAACACACATATTTGAGGGATAGCAGGACGACAGTTCACAGCTTTGAGTGGTATTAAACAAGCAAATGCACTGACATTTTCCTTTATTTCATTTTCTCCCTAAGCCACTGTAAAACACAATATGGCTTTTAAGGCAACGAATGTTCCTTCAAGTTGCAATTTAAGCCCATCAACTCACAGTACTAAAAAGATATAATAATAACCAATTCAGCAAGGAATTGTTCAATAAGGGGCCTATATGTTGAGCCCACCCAGATATCCAGGAACTAGATCCAGAGTGCTCCATTTTCCATCAGGAGGCTATGCACTGCTCTACACTCCCTAAAGCTCACAAGGTCATGCCTAGAGGGTGAAGTGTTAAATCTTAGAACATCAACTACCACCACCTACTAAAATCAAATGCTCTCATTTAAGTTTATGTTTAATATTTTACACAATCTTTCAAACATCATAATCTAACTTGCTGTCAGGAATTTTAATCATCTGTACATGGCCCAAAGTTTAGTACAAATCTCAGGAAAAGTTAATGTTGGGAGAATGGGTCACTAAAGAACCTAAGCCCATGGGGCCACATCACTATGTTCTCCTCATCCCACTGGGGCTATGGGTGATTATTCATGACTCAAAATCTCCTGATAAAATAAAGTTATCACAAATGAAATGGACAATCATGCACAAAGCTATGTCATTTGCACTTCCAAGAGAGTATGATTAGCTCCTTCTCAGAAAAATAGTAAGAGAAACAGGAACGTGATGCTGACACAAATCACTCTCCCAGTGACCCAGCTACTTGATCCAGGGAACCAAGAGTCACTCTGCACTGCCAAAACAGGTCACAAGTCCATGAACTCCAGCTTCTGCACCTTGCTCAAGAGCAGCTCTTTAAATCATTACTCAGACGATACTGTATTTTACTTTCTATATAATTCTAGCCAGTTATCTTCTGGTGCCTGAGAGCACAGGATATTTAGAAGCGGCAGATTAGAAAAATAGAGAGGGTCTAAAGGAGATGAGGACATAAACAGCAGCCAGAGTACATACAACAGAAAAGAGGAAAATAAACTGAGAGCAAATACAAGCATATAAAAAGCGCAGCTGTCCATGGAGGCATCACCAGGCTACAGCAACAAACCCCAAGCAAGGACACCCAGAGTCACCAAAGGACTAGGAGCACCACTACTTTCTCATTAAAAAGCCAGGAAAGGGTGCAAGACAATGTGTAAGAAAATTTGGCACCTAAAGGTCAGCTTGACACACATGGAATACTATTTATGAGGATAATTTTATTAAGGACAGAAAATGAGGTGTTTATTATCAAACACTTTTAGAAATTCTCAAAATTTTAAAATGGCAAGAAAATTTCAAGAGGAAGATCAACCTCAAAAACTTGAGTCTCGACTACAAATGGCTGACCTGAGGATGTATTTCAAAATAAACTCCATTTCTACATTAATTCACATTTATTACAATAAAAATCCCTTTAAGTCTTCCTACATGCCAAAGTCCAAAATTTCCTTTTTTTAAAAAAAAAAAACCTACAGCACCTGGTATTCCCAGGCAGTTTTGATCCAAGTGCTAACCAGGCCCAACCCTGCTTAGCTTCTGAGATCAGACAAGATCAGGTGCTTTCAGCATGGTATGGCCATAGACCAAAGTCAAAAATTTCTACAACTTCTCTAAAAGCTGACAGATCCTTCATGAAACAAAGAAAGAAAGATTTTACAATTCCAAAATCTGCTTTAATTTTAAGTTTAGGAAGGCAATAATTGTCCAAAGCCTGTTTAAGAGTGTACTACACAGATGATGGCATCAGCTTTTCCCACTCAACACCTATTACATTCAATGTCCTAAGGTGGGACAGTGACTACAGGATTCATTGTGACTGCATACAAAAAATACAAGTATGCCGAGTTTATGCCAATGAGCAGTTACCAAGACAACCAATCCTGGCTTCCAAATGCAGAGAGGTAAGCAAAATTTGGTCATTCCACTGAAACAATGACACTCCTATAAAAGCAAAGAATATCCTCCACATAATCACCAATCGGTGCTAAAGTTTCTCCAGTCCAAATTAGATATTCCCAAGTTTACATGACCAATTTGACTACAAACAACAAGATTATGATCCCTGGCACACAAGCACCAAATCCCTGATTTCTATATAGAAAGAGCAATACAAAAATTGTGGATTGAAAACTATTCTTTAAATAATAAATGGCAGACTACTTGAAACTTTTAAAACACTTACCTTTCCTCTAAATTGGGAGCTTTAGGGCAAATTGTATCTAGTTCTTCAGATGCTTCTAGTTCCTGCAATAAGCACATTTGTCAGTTTAAGAAAACATTCATTACAACATAAATCTCCTTGATCATACCATAATACAGAATATTGATCAATCAACTAATCAGAAACATTGTGTATTTATTTCAGGATATTAGTAAATATAGAGATTCATAAGAAATTTGTATTTTAGATTTATTACAGCATTTTAAAAAGTATGCTCTAAATGGAATTTCTTTACAAGGTACAGACTTCTCAATTCTAACCTTAATTATGTCAAGTCCTCCTATAAGCTCTCCAGAAACATAGAGCTGAGGATAGGTAGGCCAATTGGAATAGGTTTTGAGTCCCTGCCGAACTTCTTCATCTGAGAAGATATCAAAGCTACTAAACTGAATATTATGTTTTTGAAGAATTTCCACCATCTGCTTGCTGAAACCTGCATACAGAAAAAGAAAATAACTTAGCTTCTCTCACACACACACACACGATTTACAAATTCAGAGTACACATTATCTACTGAACATCAATGTCTGCCTCTATTTTGCCAGTGATTTTAAGCAGCATGGCTGAATAGTACATAAAGAGAAAATAAACTCTAAGAATTCCTTATTTGAGCTTGAACCATACTACATGACCAGATATAACTTTTTAACACAATTGTGAAGGGAAAGAAAAGTGGTGTGTGTGTGTGCATATTTATCAAAGCTCCTCTTCATGTGAGAAACATTTGTTGTTGTAGGAGAAACAGTACTGGCCAAAAAGCAGAGAGCCAAGGTTTGGCACCTGCTCTAGCCATCCACACCGAGAAGCTACAAGATGAGCAAGCAACAAGATGGAGGGCTGGCCGGTTAGCTCAGGTGGTTAGAGCACAGCCCGGTAACATCAAGGCTGAGGGTTTGGATCCCTGTACCGGCTAGCCACCAAAAAAAATGCAGGAAGATGAGGCCTCGGATGGATGGCCACCTCCCTGTGCTTTCCTATCAGTCAGGGGACTGACCTGGACACCCTGGACAGTCCCTCCCAGCTCTCCTGATCTGCGATTTATGATAATCAACTTGGGTGGAGGAAAAGAAACGTGCAGTTGTTATTTTTAACTACAACTTGACTATACCAAAAACTTGACTGGTTCTGACTAGTTTCTCCTGCCATTTTATTACTTCCTGAGCACCCACTTCAGCAGTGCTCAGTCTTCACCATCTCTAAGCAGGATAAATTAAAACTCAAGAAAGAATGTGTTCTCTTTTAAGCTAAAACAGGTAGAGCACATTGAATTTTAAAGCTATCTTCTCTGTTGTTATAGATGAACTGTCAATAGACTGGCAGCATTCTTTTTCATCTCATGTCATAACCTGACAGTTTCTTTTTTAAAACTATTTACTTTCCCCAAAGTATGTAATGTGATTTGTTTCACTATACTGTAATGACAATTTTATGTTCCATGATTTTATTATACTTTTGTGACACATTTTTGTTCCATACTCTTTCGACATCATCTTCTTATTATGATATTAGTACTGAAGAATAAGAGTGTGAATATCAGTCTTTTATAAACCTATTAGTCTAATCTGAAAAAAGGATATTTTTCTTTCCATAAGCTAATTCTTCTCAATTTTTTTCCAATACTTTGTACAACCTTACTGTTTCACACCTCATTCTTCTTTTCAAACATAGTCATAATTCATTGGAAAATAACCTATTCTTCAGATTCAAAATTCTTATAAGACTTAACAGTATCGGCAATTATTTTTAAATAAAATCAAATCATAAAATTCAGTATAAGATTAATTGCAACAGGTTTTACCTGATGTCACCCAAAAGCACATTTACTTTTAAAACATGGATCTACAACTGAGCTCCAAACACGTTCCAGATCTGCAGTTTACTGAGATGAAGCACAAGTATTTATTTGTATAGTATATAAGTTGCTTTTCCTACAACTGAAGTGTTAAGTTCATGTACAGCCTGAAGTGAAACACTGATTCTGAAATTTTTTCACTCATCTGGGATCTCATTAGTAAACAGCTAACGGCTGATTGCTGATGGTTATTCTGCTGCCAATATATTAACTCATTTCTACTGTAACTCGCTGAGAAAAAGCTTTATTTTAGCTTTAGGCAGTTACATGCAGACTAGAAAGATTGATTGGTAGTTTTCATTTTTAAGGGTTAAAGTGGCAGACTGGAAATGTTATGCTTAAGGATAAAAGAGTAAGAAGGCTTCATTCTAGTAACAAAATATTTACATTTTTTAAATAAAAATGCATACATGCAATAAAAAATATTTAAAAGTAGAAAAATTAGGTTTAACTGCCAATTTCTATATGGAAATATTTCTACATATGACATGAATAGTAAGTGTAATTGCCACATTTAGTCACCATCTAACAATAAAACCCTGAAGAATACTTCTGAACCTGCTATGTTTTTGTGTCTGATTTAAAAAGTAAAATACCAGTTAGATGACTCGCACTGCAGGCAAAATTTCTGTACGATTCAAACACCTTCGCTTTGCTAAAAGCTTTTTTAACTGAAATAAGTCACAAGAATTCCTAAATAACTTAATTAACCTGCTCAAGGACTTAGCATACTGTGTAAAAGACGTACATCTCAGTGCTCCTAGAAACTTCTTGAAAGATTTAGCACCCTCTTTTTCCTGTCCTCATGAGGAGCATGGAATAAGGGTAATTCAATTCTGTGAGGACTGGGACCCTATAAGATGCTGGGCTAAGAATGCACCACACAATTCCGTAGGTAGAGGATAAGAAGAGGGAGGCATGACCTGTGCAGGACTGGCCAAGTCCAAGTAAGCTCCAGGACAGACCCTGAAAATGGCTTTCAAAGTTTCCTGGATATGAAATTTAAATGTTATATTCATTCCTGGATTTTTTTTTTTTGTGTGTGTGTTTTCTGATTAACAGAAAAAGAAAGGTGGGGACCAGCTAACCAAAAATCAAACGTAGCTATATTCCACTATGGGAGTCCAATGACAGTAGTGCTTTCGACGTAAACTCTATGCAAAAAAAATAAGGAAAGCATAACCCCTTGAGTTCATGAGATTAGATGATCACTGTTTTTATAAAGGGGGCTTTGCCTACGCCGCTTCTCTGACGTGCCAAGAGAGGAGCAAAAACAATTCTCCACTCAGCAGCAGAGTCAAAGCCACTTACAAGCGTTACTTCAAAAAGTTTGTGGAAAAACAGAATTAAAAGATAACACAAATCTTTTCATGAATTTTCTGAAGTACCCCCATATGTTCCTGTCAGAAAACAACTTAAAGATGAAGATAGTTTGTGCAGTAGTGCACACAGAAAGGGGAAAACACAATCAGAGCAGAATCCTTCCTTTATTGAAAGGAAGTGACAAGACAGTCACAATAGAAATATTTTCCAATTAATCTTACATAGATATTTTATTAAAGAATGCAAACACCCTAAAACAATCAATTTACTATATGTGATAGAAAGACATGCTGTAACAGAAACCAAAATATCAGAAAACGGAAAAGCCTATTAAAAATGAAGTTATACAAATTATAATGAATAAAACAAGTACTTATACAGAAGAAACTGTAACTGTCAAATCATATGTGTCTAAAATTTTTTTTAATTCCCTAATGTCTTTTATTATCTAAATGTCTATAATACCGTGTTTTTTCAGATTGTTCTAAAATGTTTTAAAGCTTCTTTTTTATCCTAACTAATCATCTGTATAATCTCCTAAATGCCACTCAGACAGTTAATACAAAAATAGCTAGAAATACATCATAAATTCAGTTTAATGAAATAAAAGGTAAGCAGAAAAACGATTATTTCTAACTTTACCTCTAATTTACTTGAATAATCATACAACATCTGCATTGAAAAGGCCCTCCAAGATTGGCTTCACCTCCAAGACCACCAGAAGGAACTAAAGGTACCAGGAGGATAACTGACTCATACCGAAGGTCACTGAGGCAGGGGCCATGGTGGGGCTGAAGCTCACCTGGCTTGCCATCAGTATACCCTTCTCGTCTGGTGCTTTAGCATCCCTTCGCCAAGCTTCAGTTTTACCACCTGCCAATTTCATGAGGTTATCATTCAGAAAAGATTAAGAGAATGCTACTGTTCCACCCCAAAGAAGAGAATATTGTATTGATTTTCCTGTAGGTTTGCTGTGTATACCCTGTCATACAAGTTCACCCACATTTTGTAGCCAGTTCTACTGCACTTCAGACTTGAACAAAAGCAATGACTAAAATCCATTAGACTGATGTGGTAAGTCCTCGTTATTAGGCTACCACATATAGCACCAGAAATGATTCTCATGCCTGATGGGAAACAGTGAATGTGAACCAGTGGCAACCCCCATTAAAAACAAAATAATAAACACAACACAAGACTATCTGTTGCTAGTTTACTCTTGTATAGACTAAGTTAGCTTTGCAATACATAAATATAAGGCATTATCTGACACATAAATACTGTCAAGGACCTTTATCAGGCAGAACTAAGAGATAAAGGAATCACTTCTTTATCTTTTAAGGTAGAATTCATCATGAAACTTTCTTTTTAAAACCAGACTTTTTCATAACTTAATATGTAATTTGATAACCCTATAGGGAAGAATTTAGAATTTTTATTAGAACCTTGGCTATTTTTGTAAAGTCACACTGGACATGCAGTAATCATATCAATAGCATACTCAAGTTAACTGCAACCTATCTTAATAAATTCCCTCCTGTGTAGTTGAAACAAATACTCTTAGAGTCTCAACAGCATCATCAAAAGGCATTAAATGCTCAATTATGCAGCATAATAATACTGTACTACGCACAGTAAAAAGAAAACAACATAAACCCAATACCAGAGGGGTCAAATAACTCTAAAACTTACTTAAGGACAAAATTACAAGCATCCATGTGTAACAGAAAATAAGAGTGACTATAAGCCAAGAATTAGGAGTCTTTCGATTACTAGCAGCTATAAATTGGTAATAACAGCAACGAGAGAATAATGTAATCATTAGATACTGGCAGACACCAGGGAAGGCAAAAGTACACAAGGTATACACAGGAACACTATGAAAATTCCACAAATTTTTAAATTGCTGAATCTGAGCTAGGTGAAGAAAAGGGAGCTGTCAAGAAGAAAAGACAGCTGTTAACAGCAAAAGCAACTAGAGACAAAAGGCCCATTGCAGAGATGGCAATGTGGCAGTTAGAACCTAATCCCAAATGTGCTACCAGGTGACCTTGGGCAAGTCATCTTCATATCTTTAAGTCTGAGTACTCACATATAAAATAAATATCTTGAATTAGATTATTTCTAAGAACGCTTTGTTTCCAACATTCTCTTAGTCCATAACGCAAACTAATTCTTATCACCTAATTGTAAAATGCCATTGGGAATTCTAACCTTTGCACCATTCTACAGGTATGTGAACATAAGCAGAAGATGTATGGCATAGCTTGGAAAAAGCATGCCCATCTCAACTGTACCCGATATCGCTCAAGTACCCATTTGTTTATATCATCTTGAAAGCAGCTTCTTACCACAGCGTGGCTCTTGCGGAGTTCCTTTCATAAACAACATGCAAGGGGCAGCATGAGTTAATCTCTTCAGGCGAAGGCTGAGATCTTCTTTAAGATGCTCATTAGCCCTAGGTGGGAAGGAGCCGCTAGACACATGTCGCTGAACTTTTTTGGTCAACTCTGGGGCATGTGCACCATCTAATCGGTCGATTTTCTGGGAATTCTAAAGTTTAAAAAAAGTCATTCAGAATACATATGGCATTCCTTCATCATCTCAATATTTCAGACTCTAAAATTATAACAAATATATAGTTCTAGCCAATTTTTAAAGTTGTCAACACTATTACCAGAGAAGTTAAAAAAAATCTGATTCCCAATTGCCTGCACGGCATCTCAATTTTTAAAATACATAATAATTTTTTTCCTTTTCTTGGGAATGCACAGGGAAAACACTGATATCTCAAAGTCAAACCAGATCAGAGCCTAATCTAAAACAAAAAGGATTTCCTCCATACTTACTGGGATGAATCTATTAAGTATAAATGAGGAATGTGGGGAGCTACGGTAACACCCATGGGTACCCTGAAGCACAGACTTGCATCCACTTCCGATAAGTGTCATTAATCAAGCCAGAACCAGCCAGATGTTTCAGTAAATCCAGGCACATGTCCTAAAATTCAAGGAACACTAGGGGTCTACAGCCACATGTAAGGATTTTGATCAAGAAGCTCCATTTCTGGCTGTTGGCCCTTCACAGTCCATGCCACTTTTCCAGGGCCTTGGCAAGCAGCTGTCATGGTCCTCCTCTTCAGCATCAATGCAAACATGAGACTATCATAAAAAAGGTGCAAAGCCAGGGACAACCAAATGCCTAATATTAGTTCAGGGATTAGAAGAGAAGGTAAACGAATCAAAATAGACCCATGGTCCACTACAGATGAATGATCTCCTATACCATCTTTATTCTTACCTTGAAAAACAGAAAAGTGGGAACAGAACTAATTTCATATTTTTCAGATACTTCAGGAACAGCTTCAGCTTCCAACTATAAAATAAAAGAATTCAAGACTGATTATTAAAAGGTCCTCTTTTACTGCTTCAATATGTAAATCAGTTTTACATGCATTATCCCTTCAAGTAACTGGCGTTTTTAAAGGGTATGGTACAAAAGTTTATGACACATTTACATTTAAATGAGACTCACTGGGCTGGCATGTCATCCACTGAGTCTGCAGTGTCAAAACAGGTTCAGAGGTTTTTATTTTGTTGCACATTTCAAAAGATGCCTGGAGGCTGTGAATAAAATTTTTGGTGCACTAGTGACCTAGTAAATTTTCAATCATATGCAGCTACTACTATATTGAAATCCATAAATCACTGACCCCAGTTATGTCATGATTACAGTGCTTATTTTCTGCCCACAGCAATTCTTGCTGTTTGCTCTATTGACTAATTTCAAGAGGCAGTACATCATGACTGACAGTTGCAGCCTTCTGCAAATTATGAAGCAAAAAGGAGTATTTCTTCAATAAACTATTGATGTCTAATGAATTTTGCTTTTAACTCCTGCAAGGCTGCTGGACACTAAGCAGACAGCTTGTAAGTTACTTGCTTCTGGGTCTATTCATACACATAAATGCATTTTAAATAAGATGACTGCATTCTGTTTGATAATTTCCTTGAGGTCCATCAACAAGGTGTGATGCGCTATCTGACTGACACATGGATTTAAAACATTTAATAACACAATTTCTAAATAATAGAACACAATTACTGTAAGTTATTTATGTAGATCTTTGCAAACAATATACTTTGAGAAAAACCAAGATATATTATATTTTCCTCTCACAGGACTGTCAATTTAATATAAACTTTTTGAATCCAATAAAAATCTATATTTACATTATACCTGTAGGAAATAAAACTTATTGATAAATTATATTGTTAAAAGTTTTTTAGGGCCGGCCCGGTGGCACACTGCCACAGTGCGCCGCTTGGGAAGCGCAGCGGCGCTCCCGCTGAGGGTTCGGATCCCACATACAGACCGGTTCCCGCTCACTGGCTGAGCGAGGTGCAGGGAGCAACACCGAGGGTTGTGATCCTGTTGCCGGTCCCGGGCCGGTACGGGCGCGACACTGAGGGTTGCGATCCGTTGCCGGTCATGAAAAAAGACAAAAAGGAAAAAAAAAAAAGTTTTTTAAATATATACACTATATTTTTCCAAGAGTGAAAGATTTCCACTGGGCTTGAGATACTATTTTTATCCAGAACGTGACCCAGTCGGGTTATGTCCGTCCAAATGAAGCCTGATGACAAAGAGTGAGGCAGAGCTATCTGCCTTCTGTTTGTATCTTCCATCTTAAATATTCTTGGGTGCTCTTTTACTATCCTTTCTTTATAACACCCTTTTGCAACAATATTTTTAATAATTTACGCTTTTTTAACTGTATTTGTGAAAATTCTATAAATTTTAAATGAATGTCAACTGTCCAATACTCTGAAAAAACGGGGGAAAAGACAAAGCATTCTGAGAGAGCTATTTAGAACACATTCCGAAGTATTAGAAATGTCTGTCCTATTTTCTTTCAAATACACAACTCCACACTCAGACGAAAGATGACCAGAAAAGCTGACAGCAATGGCATGCCTCACTACCACCCTCCTGTGCATTCTCTTCTGTCGACTAACCTCTACTGAGTGCCCACTATACACTGAGCATTGTGCTAGGCTCAGCAAAGATCCCTACCTTTAGTACTACTGGACTCTAACAGAAAAGTAGTACAAATCCAAAAAAAAAAAAAAGGCAATACTAAGTAGAAACAAGGTAATATGGTCTTAAACCAGAACAAAACAGGTAAAATCCTGACTCATAAAACAAATTCCTAAATGCTTTTAAAATCTGATCTCTTCTCATATTCCTACTGGTTTCCAGTAGGGTCCCTTACTAACGACTCTTCTGGGAAGCAAATGACCTCTTATAATTCCTGCTGAAGCCAGAGGACCACCACAACTGCCTCCCCTCAAATCAGCTCCCAGGTCTTCATAAGACAAAGGCAATGGTAATAGACAACTCCTCCAAAACAAGGGACAGGAATACCATTAAAGGCTAAAGAGTTCTCTAGAACATCAAGGGCATCTGAAGTCTTAAACCTTTGCAGCACTAAAATTCTTTGAAAATATTTTTGTTGGATCTAATACAACACTTATAACAATGAAAACAGAAAATAAACATGTAAATATTAAAAAAAGATCTCCATTCAGAATAGTTCACAGATGATGAACAATAGCTATCTTTCATGGATGGTGCATTCTGTGCCACAAACCATGACAGGCTCTTTACATAAAACTGCCTAACTACTTACAACTTTGAAAGATACATAGCATACTACCACCTCTACTTTATAGGTGGTTAGGTAAAAAGTGTGTGATGGTTAATTTTAGGTGTCAACTTGACCGGGTTAAGGGCTATCCAGAGAGCTGGTAAAGCATATTTCTGGATGTGTCTGTGAGGGTGTTTCTGGAAGAGACTGGCATTTGAATCAGTGGACGGAGTAAGGAAGATCCACCCTTACACAATGTGGGTGGGCACCGTCTGACAGGTTGAGGGCCCAGAGAAGCAAAACAAAGATGAATTCACTTTCTCTCTTCTGGATGTGGAACACCCATCTTCTGCTGCCCTTGAACATCAGAACTCCAGGTTCTCCAGCCTTTCGACTTAGGGACTTGCACCAACAGGCCCCCAGGTTCTCAGACTTTTGGCCTCAGACTGTTATACCACTGGCTCTCTTGGTTCTTGTACCTTCAGACTTAAACTGAGCTATTCCACTGGCTTCTCTGGTTCTCCAGCTTGTAGACAGCAGACAGTGGGACTTCTCAGTCTCTTAACTGCATGAGCCAATTCCCCTGATAAATCCCCTCTCATATATCTATATCTACCCTATTGGTTTTGTTTCTCTGGAGAAACCTCACTAATACAGGAGGTAACTTGGGTAACTTGTCTAAAGACATGCAGTTCATAAGTGGCAGAGCAAAGAAATAAACCCAAGTTTGTTTGATTACAAAACCTGTGCTTTCTTCACTATACCATGGCTAACTTCTACTACAATCAAAACGAAAGATTACATTTCAAAGTTAGGATTTATACACAACTTCAAGACAAACCAAATACACATTTACAGAATGGAATCCAGACATAACGTCTCTAGTGGAAACCACGTGCTTCCTATACCAAGAATCTCAAACTCTGGACCCTTCCCACGCAGTGTGCCGTGTGTCTGGGGAGAGGGTGAGAGAGGTAGGGCAGGTATCAGGTAAATCCAGAGGTGGGTGATTTCTCTATCTATGCTACTTCAATTCAGCAGGTCACCAAAGACTGCCATGACAGTAATGGCTGATAGCTATGATTTATTCTAGGCCAGACACTGTTCAAAGTGTGTTTCCTATGTTGACTCATTCAATCCTCACAATAGGTACTGTCATTAGACCCACTGTACAGAGGAAACCAGAACTTAAAAGAAGTACAGTAACTTGCACAAGACTATTGCTATGGCTTGAATGTACATGTCCTTCCAAAATGCAAATATTGGAACTTAAACCCCAAGGAGATAGTAATTAAGACATGGGGTCTTTGAGAGGGGATTAGGCCAAGAGGGTTCTGCCCTCATGGATGGGATTAGTGACCTTATAAAAGAGCTTAAAGAACTAGCCAGTCCATTTTTGCCCTTCTGCCATGTGAGGACAGCTACAAGGCGCCGTCTTGGAAGCAGAGAGCCCTTGCCAGACACCCAATCTGAAGATGCCTGTATCATGGACTTCCCAGCCTCTAGAACTGGAAGTAATAAACTTCTGTTGTTTACAAATTACCCATTCTAAGGTATTTTGTTGTAGCAGCAAGAACAGACTAGGACAATTACAAACCTATTAGTGGTGAAGCGAGGCAGTGTGACACCAGGGACACCGCCATGCTGCCACTTCAGCAAATCCAATGGCTACTGCCTTTTTCTCATTTTACCAATCTTTCAGGACCACTCAGTAAGGGTGATCAGCCCCACATTCTTGTGACGCCCTTCACTTGGCTCTCCATGTTTTCTTTTTCCCTACCTAACAGTCTCTCTGGCTGCTTCCTCCCCCTCTGGCCAGCCTCTGCATGCAGGCATATCCCAGGACAAGGTTCTGAGTCCCCTTCTCTTCTTATCTACACTCATTCTCTTGGAGTGGTCTCATCCAATTCCATGTCTCTGAGTGACACCAGTATGATGATAACTCCTAAGTTCTGCCCATCTATCCTTATCTCCAGACTATACTGTACTCAACATCTGCACTCAGAGCTCCCACTACACTAAACATCTCTCACTACACCTGTTCCTCCCCAAGGCACCACTATCTCACAAAATTCATCCAGTTGTTCAAACCAAAAAGGAGACGATCTTGATTAATCCATTTCCCTCACATCCCACATCCAATCTATTAACAGGTTTTCTGGGCTCCCTTCCAAAATACAAACCAACTCTGACGGTCACATCATTTCAGTGTTCTCTCTCCACTAGTGTCCAAGGCACCTCTCACTTGACATAGTAAAATAGTCTCCTAACCAGTGCACTTACTTCTATTCTGCACCCTTCTCCCTTCAAACCATTCTTTACCCAGCAGCCAGAGTAACTAACTGAACTTATGGACTTGCACCAGCAGAATCGGACTGTGACACTTCCACTGCACTTGGAATAAGACTTGACCTCTTTACCACTCACTGCCCACAAGGCCACTTGACCCTCACCTACCACTCCAACCTCCCGCCACACCCTCCCCTCCTTCACTAACCTCCAGCCCCACTAGCCTTCTGCCTGTACCTCTTAACACTGCACTTGCTAATCCTCAGCCTAAAAACTCTTCCCCAGCTCCCCCAATAGCTGGCTCCTTTTCATTTTTACATCTCATCTCATTAGATACACCTTCCAACCCAACCTAAAGCACCCCACCCACCCCAGTCTCCACCTTTCATAGCCCGTTTATTTCTTTTGTAGAACTTATTACTATTTGAAGTTGTCTTGTTAATATATTTGTTTACCCATTTATTGTCTATAACCCTTAGTATTCTGTATCCCCAGTGCCTAGAATAATGTGTGGTGTATAATTAGTGTTCAATAAATTTTGACAGAATATTAAACAAAGGTGGTCACTATACCAAAGTCAAGAATGGGAATGGCCACTTGCCAGTGGCGGCACTAAGGCTCCAAGGTGGAGGAGAGAATACTTTAACCTGACTTTCAAAAACATTTGGTTAGACTTCATAAAGAGGCTTCTTTCTACTCTGTGATTTCTGATATATAAGAAACATTTTTCAAAATCGCATTCCTTCTTTGTCAGCCAAAATAATTAACATTTTTAATAGCTTTTTAAGACTTTTGCCAAATTTAGTCCAGAAACAGCTAATAAACCATGTTAATTGTGGTATGTTTTTAATCACCAAGATAGCATAGAAAAATGCTAGGTTATTTTTAAGATTTAATAATTCCACCAAAGGGCCGGCCCGGTGGCGCACTGCTACAGTGCGCCGCTTGGGAGCACGGCGGCGCTCCCGCCGAGGGTTCGGATCCCACATACAGACCGGTTCCCGCTCACTGGCTGAGCGAGGGGCGGGCGCAGCACCGAGGGTTGCAATCCCGTTGCCGGTCCCGGTCCGGTACGGGCGCGACACTGAGGGTTGCAGTCCGTTGCCGGACACGAAAAAAAGACAAAAAAGGAAAAAAATAATAATAATAATAATTCCACCAAAGTTATCTGAGAGACATTTTTAGAATTCCTATAAAATGGAATCCTACATTTGCTCTTTAAGATGCCAAATAAACTGGTCATTATTCTCAGACACTGAAAAATTGGAATTCAGCTAGTTAATTTGTACCCAGTTATACAGCTAGTTGGTATTCTCCTAGAGATTTACCTACATCATCTATGTACACGTAGTAATTGTACATTTAGAAATTAAACAGTATAATCTACATTTATAATTATTTACACTGATTGTATAGACCTTTAGAAATTAAACAGTGGGAACTGTATCTTAAAGATAGTCACATATTTCAAAGTAAGAACAAATCAAACCATAAAGACTCCTGTTTTTTAAGAAGCAAAAATACAAATTTAAGTATATAACTCCTACATACCCTTGTCTTTATATGTTACATTACAATGGACATAAAACACAAGCTACTATACAAACAAGATTAATACTAAACAAAATACAATAGTGTAAGATATCACCCACCAGCTGGCTGGTAAGTCTGACTTTGAGAGTTTTTGTAGTGAAGTGCATTACAGCAGACCCTTGAATAACATGGGTTTCAACTGCATGTGTGTCCTTAAATTATGCAGAATTTTTTCAAACAACCAAGGATGAAAAGTACAACATTCACGAGATGTGGAACCCACGCGTACAGAGGGCCAACTTTTTTATGTCCAATGTTCCACAGGGTCAACTTTGGGATCTGTGCATCTACAGACTTCTGGAACCAATCCTCCACAGATACCGAGTGACAACTGAGTTAAAGTTGAGCAAAATCAGGGTACTAAGCTGGAAGTAGGATTGGGAATCTGGCATGGAAAGCAGAAGCCACTGAACACAGGAAGGCAATAAAAAAGAATGAAAACATAAGGTAAAGGTCCCTACCTCAAGTATCTCACCATCTAGTCAAGAAGCCAATCAAAACAGGAATCAGATAACAGTAAAGACAAAAATACAGGGTATTTCCTGACTAAGAGCCCAACCAATGGCACAGACTAAGTTCAGAGACATAAAAAGCCACAGGGGGAAAAAAAAGGAATGACTGCATACAAAATGGATTTGATTTGGACCTTGTATATACCCAGTGGTACCCAACTTTTCATCACCCACAAAATCTTGTACTATTCTTCCTCCTTCCCACCTCCTCTACCAGATGCCATATTTTGAAAGATTCTGTCAAACAGTTAATTAAATGATACATGTGTGTTCCCACTTTAGGTAAAGACATAAACAGGATCAGTATGAGTAAAAAAAGTACTAACAAATCAACTATGTAATTTAGAAAGCAAAGGCACTTGACATTTTAACTAGCTATTTTTTATTCTAAATGAATGGTTACTAATATAAGACTTTTAGCAATAGAAATAACTCATCTATCTCCTCTAAGCCCTTGGAGGTGTATAAGCATCAGGATCCAACCAGATATGGCAGTGATTCAGGTAAGTGGAACGTCATCTATCATAAATGTGGCACCCAAAAAAAACATGAATACACTTCAGTACAGGGAATGAGGGGTTCAGATGTGCTACATGTGAAAACCTTGCCTTTCAGCATTCAATTCCAATGAGCAAACTAACTACTCTGATCAAAAATGTGTGACTAATTTTTCTAAGGTGGTATTTTATCATCTCCTACAAAATAAGATACGATTAGTATCTTACAATCTGTTAAAAATATCTTGTTTAAGATCACTTATTTAAATGATTTTGTAAATATCAATAACAAAAATGGACTAATCCCTTTACTTCGCCTGTCAAAAACAACAAACTACTGCATGTTTAGAAAAAAGACTAAGAAATCAAAAGACACAGACGGGGGTCGTAGAACGTTAGTTCTACACTCTAGAAATTTCTAAAAGCTCAGTAACAAAGGAAAGCTGTTTTAAAATTAACTGAATGCCTCTCTTACTGGGAAAGGCCAATGATCTGGCAAATATTTTACTTCTCAATTGCTCACTATTATTCAGCAAGTGCCTTTTATCACCTACCTTACAAACTCCACACAACTTCTCTTTGCCCTTGGTGATGTCTAATAAAAGAAAAACTATGCCACAGAATGAATTTCTTGAAAGTGATGACCCCTGGAAGAATGACCAATCTAGCACTTTTGTGATCTCCATGAATGGCAGGTGCAGTTAAGCTCAGGTATCCCTGACAATGTCGAAGGTTCCAACCCTTGGCTCGCTGAGACTCTTAAGAAGTTGAACAACCCAAAATCTCACTGCCAAGCATGGTATGAATGTGAGAAGTAATCCTATAGTCACTTTAAATAAATCATTCAGATGGCAGTGAAGAACAATGTGTTACTTAAACCAGTAACACTATATGCATAAAAGCAGACTTAGAACAATTACCATCATCTTGATTAATCTTATGACTGAAATGTTTAATCATTCATTTCACTTGTAATCATTATCTTTTATCACTGACCAAACATGCAGTTTTAATGTCCACTTCTATTATTTATATTGGACATTTTAGGGTTACATTCTAAGGTTACATTACACATTTCATTGGAATTTTAAATAAGTCCTTGAATTTCAAAAAGCTAAATATTATATTCATATTTGCTCTATCTGCATAAAAAAACACTGGAAGGATCCATACAAAATTAACATAAGCAGTTACTTATGGGGTAGGACAACAGGGCTGATAGGGAAGGAGTTGGATGAGCCTTCTCAATGTACACCTATCTATACTGTTTAGATTTTTGAGCCATCTGAGTATAACACCTATTCAAAGCCACCTTATCTGCACAGAAGCAATCTGAAAATTTTATTGCCTACTATATAAATGAATTATCCTGTCAAAATTTTGTGTTTTCAGTTTATACAAAAAGAGGCATAAAGATAAGTACAGTTGATGTCATTTTTAATCCCATATATAGGTACACTTGCCAATATGTACTCTGAAATCACAAATTCTGGTTTTAAAAAACAAAGCTTTGGTTTCTTGTTTTTTAAATCCTAAGGATTCTGGCATTTGAATACAGTGTGTGCCTCCCTTCCCAATAATTCATTTCTAAGATCCTCAACTCATATTTTGGCCTTGTTGCCTAAACGAGTACTCAGTCCTGAATGATAACATTAAATGTGCTAAACCAAGTGAACTAATCCAGGGTCACAACTACCATTTTCCTAGTACTCAGTCAAGACTACTAGAACACAAGAGCATGCAAGCATGGAGTAAAAAAAAAACAAAGCAGGCAAGGAGGAGGCTGCCCGGCTTCCCTTCCATCCGCATTCTCAACAGGCGAGAGAGACTTCCCGTTCCTCCCGCAGGTATGCAACTACACAATCCAAGATGGCAACTTCCTGCTCTTCCCCTGGTCTCTAGCAGCCCTTACATACCTTTTCCTGAATCATTTTCCACATCACACCTAGCTTTCTAATGAAATAAGTCTTGATACTATTTTAATATCTTAAAACCACCATTATCCATAGTGAATTACCTAATCAGCTTTTGCTCTCAAACATTTCCACACATTGCCCATTCTGATATTTAGCAGTTATGTCCTCCCCATGTTAGAGAAAGAGTGGTGATTTTTACACTATCTGGGAAAGACAAAATCATTTTAAGATTTTTAAGAATAATCTACGGCAAAAATAACACAAATCAACACCAAATATAAATATTTGGAATTTCACGTTATTCCTCTCTCATATTAGGTTAATAAAATCTAACCTAACACATAAATCAGAATTAAATTCGTAAAGGACCGGGCCAGCCCCGTGGCTCACTCACGGCAAAATACATACATACATGCATATATACATGCATGCATACATACATAAATTCATAAAAGACATGACACTGAAAATACAATACCTTCACAAATGAGACTTGAGGGTGTTCTTTAGCTAACTCTGCCATTACATCATTCATCTGCGCACACTGTGGAGCCCATGGTGCCCAGAAATGGACCACGAGGAGGGACCTGTAAATCAACAAAATGTATTTTTTTTTAATTTTATTAACTTTGGAAATAAGCAAACAACTGAGATAAATTCTATTACCAAAAAACCTTTAAAAGAACTGCCTGAATTGTTTTGTACTATTAGAATTTTGTTGTATTAAACGGATTGAAACATAAGAACACTCGGCAAGATCTTGAGACTCTTTGGGATGAATTTCCAAGTTAATGATATATCTTGAGTCAAGATTTAGTCCATAAGAACTGCTTCTGAATACTCACCCATCTCAATTAACAGTCATGTAAATCAACTATGTTTCATACCCGTAAGGAAAGTGGAAACTAAACTTCTGTATTACAGGCACAATGTTTGTGATAAATGGTTGTAAATGCGTTATACCACCAACATCAGTATTTACTCCTTAAACATGGTATTGTGATGAAGAGGCACAACTGTGAGCACAGAAGCAGCAATTAAATGTCGAAAGCGAAGGCACGCCAGCAGAAAACAGGAAAAAATGGAACTGCTTTTTTAAAAGACACCCTTTTATATTTCTTTATATTATGCTACAAAAGATTTTCTACACATTTATAGTATGAACAGATAGAACAGTGAATTAATAAACTCACTAAATTCTTAGGAATCTCAGTGTATAGCCAACTAATTATTTTCATACAAAATTATCTTAGCGAAGATTCCTTTAAGTCTATCCTCAAATCCAACTGAAAAATCCCTCAGTTTTATAGAATTCTAAGTTTAAATATAATCTCCCCACCCTCAAAAAAAAAACTGAAAAATTGAGGGAAAAGTATGTTACATGGAGAAAAGAACGAAGGACAACTATCCTGCAGGCAAGGAAAGAAATAAACTATAAAAACCAATAAAGTAATACAGGTGAGAGAAGAAAGAACCTACAATAAATATCAGGAAAGTAGAAGCAACGGGAGGCATTAGGAGGCCTTCAGAGGTGGAAGGGGCAAGACTTGGTGACAGATGAGGCATAGTCTAGGGCTGACACAAGTTCTGGCTTACAGACTGATGGCTAGTGGTGGCACCAGCCTCGAATTATAATATAAAAGCTGTCGGCTTGAGAGGAAAGGAAGTCTAGTAGGCTGTTACTGTGATGTCTCGAGCTCAGGAAAGAAGTCTCCACTTGATCTACAGATTTAGGAATCAAGAAACGCACCGTGTTGCAGAGAGATACAAAAGAGACCCAATGTCAGCACCAGAGGGGCTCACCAACATTAAGTTAGGACAGATGGAGGAAAAGGAACTAACGTTGCAGAGAAGGGGACCTAAATGGTCTCACAGAAGTTGAAGGAGGAGTATCAAGAAGGAAGGAGTGACAATCTTCAAATGCAGCAGGGAAGGACAATGAACACTAGTGAGAGGAGTTTCAATGGAACAGTAGAAACACAAGTCAGACTGCAGTGCATCAAGGACTGAACTGAAGATGAGGAAGTAGAGATTACTAGAAATACTCTTTAAGAGATTTGTACTAGGCAGAGGAAAAGACAGGATCAAAATATGTCCTTTCTTTTAATACAAGAAAATTTTCACATTTATTTTGTTAGAGGACAATACAAATGGAGAGGAAGTGGCAGCTGATGATGCAAGGTCTCAAGGAGGAAGGAGGGGGAAATCTAGAGAAGAGAACTCACCTTGCAGAAGAGGGGCACAGTCTCCTCTGAGTCAGGAGCCAAGGAATTAAGAAAGAGGAATGCTACAAATAAATGAGTAGATGTTGATGGAGGGGGAATAGGAAGGCTTAGGGAGATGCTACTTGAAGTCCTGTTTTCTCTCAGGTAGGAAGCAAAGTCATTTGCTGAAACAAAGGAAAAGGGACAACAGGAATCACAGACAGAATGACGAAGGAAGAGCTGTCCGGGGCATACGAAAGGAAAGCAGAAGGCTCCAAAGGAAATCCCTTCTAAGGCAGGAGAGGACACATTGTAGGGGCCCCCAGTCAACAGGTTATAATTTGCATCCAACAGAACTTAGCTGCGTCGGTGGATTAATAGGTGGGCGTCAGGTCTATGGCAGAGACTATGTTGAGAGACTACATTTTTCACTCCTCCTTGCATCTGCTTAGGGCCCTGGAACTGAGTTCCGGCTGGTAGAACACAGGCCCGACCCTCAAAATCCTCCCTCATGAGCCTCTGCCTACACTAGCCTTTAATGCAGAGGATCCAGATGAGGCCCCAAAGCCTAAGGACAGCAAGAAGGAAAACCTGTCCAAACAGGCCTGGTGCAAGAATGGTCACAGCAGTCTTATACTTAACCCAAAACTGGAAATAATCCAAATGTCCACAAACAGGAGCAAGTGTTGTATACTCATACAATGGAATACAACTCAACAATGAAAAGAAACCACCTACAGATACATGCAACAACATGGATGAACGTGAAAAACATACGAGCAAAAGATGCCAGACATAAAAAGAGGAACTGTATGATTCTATTTACATAAAATCCAAGACCAGAGAAAACTAATCTAGAGTGACAGAAAGCAGATCAGAGATTTGTGGACAGGGCTGAAGAACTTCCTGAGCTCAATATTCTCATCTTGAATGGCAGTTGCTGGTGTGTACGCAATTGTCAAAATGCACCATATCCAACGATTAAGATCTGTGCACTTTATTATTATTGTATGTAAGTCATACCTCAATTTTTTAAAAGCAGGGATGACATAGGACTTTAAAATCATAACATTCAATGATAAAAAGGATGGTGAGAGAAGCATTTTCATATCCTCCTGGTAAAAACTAAATTGGTATCTTTCAGAAATTTCTTACATATATACAAATCTATCTTAAGGAAGTAATTAAAGAAATGAAGATTTATGTACATGGATATTTTCCCGTCATTTTACGTAACAAATAACTGGAAAAATCTAAGGTTCAACCATATGGCCTTTTAATGGTCATAACAAAATATTAAAAAGCCATTAAAAATCAAATTTTCAAAGAATTTTCTTAATGCCATGGTAAAATGCTCACAATATGATTACATTTTTTGAAAATTAAAATCGGTTACTAAACTTTATAACAGTATGAGCCTGCTATGGGTTGAATGTGTCTCCCCAAAGTGCATGTGTAGGAAACTTGATCCCCACTGTAAACAGTGTTAAGAGGATGGGAAATCCAATTACGGTATTTGAAAGACAGGGCCTTTGGGAGGTGACTGGACTGTAAGAACTATGCTGTCATGCACGGATTTATCCATTTATGGAGTAATGAGATATCGTGGGTGTAGACTGATGGCTTTAAAGGAGAGCAAGTGAGAGGGTTAGCTCTCTTGCTCATGCCATTCTAGTCATGTGAAACCATGCGTCACTTGTAGAGTCATCACTCAGCAGAAGGCCTTCAATGGATGTGTTCCCTGGACTTTGGACTTCCCAGCCTCCAAAACTGTAAGAAATAAATTTCATTTCCTTATAAATTACACAATTTCAGGTATTCTGTTGTAAGAGACAGAAATGGACTAATACAGAGCTCAAACATGTAAAAAAGAAAAAAGTATGTGCAAAGAACTTGAATTAAGTTTCAATTCCATTATTACTAACATGGCATGAAGAGTAATTTAACTTCCCTTAACTTCCACATCTTTGAAACAGAATACCTAACACCCTGGCATGTTGGGAAGGTCAAACAAAAACATTAAAGCATGATATTGTCTATAGTTATTTTAAATTGTCTACCATATTTTCATGTTTAAATGCTTAACTTCCATTTTTCAATTAAGCAATAAATGCCCAATATTACAAAGCCGTATATTGGAAACGACTGTAAATGATGTCTCCATCTTCATGGATAGCCCAACATGCCTGGTGCATTGTTTGTAGAAAACATTTGGAGAAAGACCAGGTTCAAATGCTGACTAATGTGATCTTAAACAACATAATGAACCTCAGTTCTTCATCAGAAAAATAATTAGTGCTCAGTAAATACTTGTTGTTTTTCTGTTATTGTAGTGTTCTGCTACTGCAGTTTTACATCTGCAGATAACACCAGCTAGCATTTATTAAACAGCATCATATACTGGACTCAAGTATTTTACAAATGGACAAAACTTCTTAATTACTCTGCAAATGGCTATTAATATCCCCATTGTATAGAAGAGCTGAGGTTTCGGTAACTTATATAACATCTGATTAAATGACTCAAGCAAAGAAAAAGTTTCAAATCATATCAAATTTTAAAATTGAGAAGTCCTATATTGTTGGTGGGAATGTAAATTGGTACAGCCATTGTGGAAAACAGGATGGAGGTTCCTCAGATAACTAAAAATAGATCTATCTTATGACCCAACTAATCCCATTATTGGGTGTGTGTGTGTGTATATGTATATATATATATATCTCCAAAGGAAACGAAGTCAATATACCAAAAAGACACCTGCACTCCCATGCTCAATGCAACACTATTTACAGCAGCCAGGAGATGGAACCAACCTAAATGCCCATGACCGGACGAATGGATAAAAAAACTGGGATATCTACACAAGGCAATACTACTCAGCTACAAAAGGAAATGGTATCTTATCATTAGCAGCAACATGGATGGAACTAGAAATCATCATGTTAAGTGAAGTAAGTCAGGCACAGAAGGATATATACCACAGGATCTCACTCATATGTGGAATCTGAAAAACAAAAGAAAGTGGTGCTTACAGAAGTAGAAAGTAGAATAACGGTTACCAAGGGGAGTGGGGGAGGAAAAAGCGGTGGACTACAAGGGCACAAAACTATGCTACCTACCCTAAGTCAATCACTGTGCAGTACATGCACGTATTGAAACAACACACTGTACCCTACAAAAAATAAAATAGAAAAAAAAATTTTTAAATAAAATAAAACTGAGGAGAAGCAATGATCTGGAAAGTAGATTTAAAATGATTACATCAACACCAGTACTACTTAATATTCTTAAATGCTTCCATTTTCACAAAAAGCAGCAGAGATTTGCTCCTTCCCCAAATTCCACACATCATTTGCCACGTGCCCATTTAAACTAGTCGCTATGGAAAGAGTACATTGTTTTCTGGGTCATTGCAAGTACAGACCAGTGGCGAGAATACTCGTACATCCAAGTGATATATACATTTAAGCTTTTACCCATTGTGATACTTTGAAGACTGTTTAAAACATGAAGCATAAAAGCAAAAATGTGAAACACACACACACAAAATATCTTTCCAGGTGGTAAGCTCAAAACGTTTATTAAGGGCAGGTCCACACAAGCCCTGCTTATGTCAAGAGGCCACTCTGGTTCCCTCCACTGTGTGGCCTGAAGATGTGTTCATGTTGGATGAATCAAAACCCAGCTTCCACCAATGATTAAATGTCATTTCCCTTTTTTCTTTTCCTAACAATTTCTCAGGTAAACCTAACCTTCCAAAAGAGCCGTATTAATTAACATTTCAACTTCATAACCTCCATAAAGCATGGCTAACTAGAAGTCAGTCAGTAACTCTAAGCCCTCCCCACTCCCAGCAAAGGCAAAACTCCCCTATGTCACCTGCGCTCTCCGCTGCAACATCAGAGGACCGCCTGCCTCTCATTCGAACTCAGGCGGCGACGTGTCACTCGGAACGGGTCAAGAAGCATGTACCGCCCACGAAGTGCACGAGCGCACCTGCTCTGTACTGAGAACAAGGGGCCAACACACTCTGCTCCTGCACGCCAGGCTTCCCGGCACTTCACACGCACCGCCGCGTTCAGCCGCGGCAACACTAATCCATTTCAACACTGAGACTAGGGCTAGGCTCTGAGATGCGCCCGGGGGTCGCAGGGCAGGTAAACGGCTGCGGTGACGACTGGATCCCAGGCCATCAGACCCCGCTGGTAACGCGGCTGAGAACGACCCCGCCCGCACAGCACGCTGCAATCGCAGGCGGCGTCGTTAGGAAGCGCCGCCGCACACCTGTGCGCACTCACCTGTGCGTTTCCACGCCGGCCAGCGGCCACCTGTGAGCACGCACAGTTCAGAGCTGCTGCCACCGCCGAACGCGTCCTCCGCGCGTCCCCACGGCTCTGGGTTTGTGGCCTTCTCCAGGGAGAGAAGCACGTGCACCAAAGCACAACCCCCCCCCCCCCCC